TTACGTCATTTTTTTCTACCACTCTACAACTTGTGGCTGAACATTACGTTATTTTTCTCTACCACCGTTTAACCGGTGGCTGGGCATTATGTAATTTTTCTCTACCACTCTTCATCCGGTGGCTGGGCATTACGTCATTTTTCTCTACCACCGTTCATCCGGTGGCTGACATTACGTCATTTTTCTCTACCACTGTTCAACCGGTGGCTGGGCATTACGTCATTTTTCTCTACCACCGTTCAACCGGTGGCTAGGCATTATGTTATTTTTTACCTACCACCCTTCAACCGGTGGCTGACATTACGTCATTTTTCTCTACCGCCGGTAAAGCGGTGGTCAGGGCTCAAAGGGTTAAGGCTCTTATGTAGATATTTGGCGGAACATGAATAGCAAGGTATAGTAAGAGTTTAAATGTTGTTTATTTTTAAAAAATAATAATGGCGATAGTCCTCGTATCCCAATTGATGCAAAATTGTAAATGGTCTTTTATTATTATTATATCTACTGGCATCTAAGACTGGTCCCACCGAATTATGTGTTAATGGCTTCTAGGGTCTAGATTATACGTATATTACTATAAGCCAGAGGGGATTCACGGAAATGCTCCTACCTTATCATACCCCCACCCCATGGTTTGGGGTATGTCCATAAATACGAATGAGCGAAGCGAATTCGGCAAACGAGTCGTAGAAGAGAGAAGAGAGGCAGAAGAGACGGAGACGAGACCAGTGACAGGAGAGAGCCTCCACGTGGGACGGGGTTAACTCTGGATTGAAGCGGTCACTTCATTGATCAGCCGCGATGTTGGAAATCGAGGACGGCCGGGGCGGGTGTTGTACGATTACATAACATTACATAACATGCAAATTACAGATTTAAATACGAAAATCAAATAGGTGTAACAATTTAGATATCTGAGAAACTTATTAACAGGTGGGGTAGAATTTGCGACACTGAAATCCGAAGGCGCGTTAGGATAGAGGCATATGCCTTCCAAAAGCTAAGCAGAGTATCAAGAAACACAACAAATATTATTAGAAACAAAGAAATGAGGAATGAATTATTATGCAATATCATTTATGACAGTGAATGCTAGACAATTTCCTCACAGATGAAGAAGAGAATTAAAGCAATAGAAATGTGGTTCTACAGAAGGATAATGAGAATACCATGGACCGAACATGTGAGCAGTGACGAAATCCGAGAGAGAAAAAGAAAAGGGACACTTATGTTTAACATCAGGAAGAGACAGCTGAAATTTCTTGGTTATATAGTGAGGAAAGATGGCTTGGAAAATTTGATCCTCACAGTTAATAGAGACAAAGGAAAGCAAAACACACAAGCTACTTGGTGAGCTTGAGTGAATCGATGTCGGAGAAGGTTTTGGGAGTGATGGCAAAGAGCCAAAAGAATTTACGAGCTACAAAGGACAGGAAATTGTGAAGAGCAATGATTGCCAACGTCCTGTAGGGATGCTGTACAAAGAAGAAGAAGAAGAAGAAGAAGAAGAAGAAACTAAATTTAATAAGTATTTGTATGTCTGTTAAGCGACTTGAAGTTTACTTGCATTATTTACATTATTCCGACTGTTATCCTCATCTTCATTGCCATATTTACAACGTTTCGCCCGTTGTACCCTCCGTCCTTCTTCAGGTGATTGGAACTTCGAACTGGACCCTTTATTTCGTCCACCGGGGTAGATTATTCTAGTTCCACGTGCCATGCCTCCTCCAGATGTCTCTGTTATTTCCCTTTAACGCTCCAAGTGTTTGGAGTTTTGTAGCTTGGTATTGAGCTCACAACTATTTGAGTCTAATCAGTGGATCTAACCAACATCTTTATCCACTGGGCCATGTCCCAATGATGTAAATAATTCAGATAATCTTAATACCTCATCTCAGAGATATAAACAGGTACTTGAAGATATCCAGGTAAGTACCGCTTCCTGGGAAAAGTTATGCTATACAATCTTTCAAACTATTTTCACCGCTATTTGAACATTCATCTCTCATCTCTATCTATAAAAAGTAGGATGTGTGTGTGTGTGTGTGTGTGTGTGTGTGTGTGTGTGTGTGTGTGTGTGTGTGTGTGTGTGTAACTAATGCACGTCCGCAATTTTCAACGGATTTGCACCAAAATTTACATGCATATGCTCCAAGTTAGAGGGAAGGCCAAGACCAACTTTGCATTTCCCAACTCCCATCGATAGTGGAAATAATCTATTTCTTCATGCTTCTACGGCACTTTTCATGTAGCTTGCGGCCATTTTCTACTGGTCAGAGTGAGACCCTATAGCTGGCTGCCACGAATAGGCAGGAAGATTCTATTGGTCAGCGTGAGAGCCAACAGCTGACTGACACGAATGTTAACTAGAATGCTAGCATGCAAAAAAAAATCGATAGCTGCATTCGTCACAAGTGGGAAAAATTTAAATCGGCATGGCACTTTACTCCAATTGGCTCATTCGCTTGCTTAAACTCAACGTTGATTCTGATTCCGCAGAACTGGGTTGGGTGTGAAAAAGTATTTGTTGTTAACATTCTTTTTTCATTCGGTTTTTCCAGTTACGAGTCCATTTTTAAAGCTGATCGTTTTGTATTCATTTTGTTTAGTTCTTTTTTCGTAACAGATTTAATGTTTAGTATAGAGCTTAGAAAAAATTCGCAGCGTGAGATAGGCAAGAAGTAAGGCATGTAGCAACATCAGCACGGCAAAGGGCACTCTATTTTAAGTTAAGTGATAGCGATTGCTGTATGAGTCGTACGATTTTTGAATGAAGTACGGGCAACGCCGTACCATGCTGCTAGTTTCTAATATTAATTCCTGGTTGAAATAGATTTTATGAAAATTGTAGACCATAAAAAAAATAATTATGAGTCAGACATTATGCGTCAGACATTAGTTTCTGGTTTCTACTTTTGGTAAAGCTTATGCCTTCGTCCAGACGAGTTTATCAATCCCTGCCAGTACAATAACTCAATAAAGCACAAATACACCAGATGCATTTCCTGTGGCGAATGAGACTGAATTCTTGGCAGAGAATTTCTTCCTCTAAGAAAGAATTCCTCTCTCAACATACAAAACACTAATGTATGTATTATTAAAAGACAAGTCCTATGGTTCCAAATTAATACGTTTCTCCAAGACATAATGGCCGGCCAGCTGTATTTCTTGAATTAGATTTAGAGAATATATAATAACACTCACGAGCTCTCTAGGATGCCTCGACATGGAATAATTCTTGACAAAATAATAAAGCAGACCAAAATCTTTTATAAATTCGCGCAAGGCTAAATTTTGTCTGTGTGTCCCCATCTTACACCAGTAGAACAAAATATACCAGACTGTACTGCTAACATACGAAACGAACGTCTTTTTCAGACTTATATATATATATATATATATATATATATATATATATATATATATATATATATATATATATTATATTGACAAAAATGACGTTTAAAACATGAACGGTAATATTAAACTTCCATAACAATTTTTACATGAATATTTTAATAAATACTAGCAGTAGAGCCCGGCGTTGCCCGGGGATGTAACAGTAAGAGATAGATCAAGTATCGGCCATCATAAAGACTGAAAAATAAAATTGACAAAGATTATTGTTTAAGGTTGACGGACACGCATGTCTTAAATAGTTTTCTTCTTTTTTTTTTTTACGAATTGGTCAAACCCAAACTCAAACAAAAACATTGTTTTCAATCGTTATGGATCTACCGATTGAATAGAATTTTATTATAAACAATTGTCTTGTAAATGGAATTTTTAAAGCATTCTGAATGTAAAAATAAAGAAAAAAGTGTGCAAGACAATAAGAAACACTATCTGCAAAAAAAGTGAAATTTTGTTGAAATCGGTTGAAAAATGTAGGAAATCCGATCCCATATATAAACCAACACAGACACGCACTCACAAACAACATGGGTTTTATAATAAGTATAACTCGATATGAGTTGTCCCCCTTTCATTCTCGTGATGCCTCTTAATCGTGTTTTCAAATTGATTTCCTGCAAAAACAATTGTGTTTTTCCAATTTTTTACGCTGTCAGAACCACCGCAAGGTAATTTTACATAGTCCTGTGAAGTTTTGTTGAAATCGGTTGAAAAATGTAGGAAATCCGATCCAATATATAAACGAAACACACACACACACACACAACCTGGGTTTTATAATAAGTATGAATAAATGTTTTATCCATTTTTACTTCAAATTTTAATAAGTACCACAAAAAAGCAACGTTCATTTCACTATTTCTTTTTAAATTCATCGTATTTGTATCGAAAGAATTTATATCTGCCTTAACAAAATTCAGTCATAAGTCAGAAAAGCTACACCGTTCGTAATAATATGCATTGTTGCCGTCTGATATTTCACGTTACTACAAATCAGTTGGAAAAAAATTCATGGAATTATCTAAATAAATCAAAATAATCTGTTTAATTTGATTTTCTTTAAACAGTGAGGAATTATTTAAATAGGGGAAAAAATTATAGGTTTGCTGAATTAAATTTTATTATTATTAATATAACCATGAATATTCAAATGTTTCTCCCGTCCTGAGTATGACGATAAACTGCATCCGGGTCCTGGGTATGACGATAAACTACATCCGCATCCTGAGAAAGACGATAAACTACATCCGCGGCCTAGATAAGACGATAAACAGCAAGGCCTTTGATCAGGAGGTTTTGAGGAGTGTGAAACCACCTCTTAATTGCTGGTGTTCCCAAGTCCACCTGACCCGGAGTGGTAGCACCCGTTAGGGTCCCAGCTATGGGCAAATAATTAACCACCAAAAAAAGGGGGCAAAACACTGTGAAAGTATAAAAATAAGTTTTAATACCAGCAATACTTTTTTTGAAAAAATATTAACAACAAAACATCTTTGGAAAAAAGAATATTACCGGCAATAAAAAATGTTGTCGGCATTAAATAACCCATTGTTGTTGATATGCTGTAAAACAAACCAAACCAAATGTTTCTTTCTTTCTCTCTCTCTCTCTCTCTCTCTCTCTCTCTCTCTCTCTCTCTGGTCAGCTCTTTGTTCAGTGTAGGAAATTGAAGTATACTTATTATAATGACAAATACAACTTCAGAAAATAGATATCTTGATGAAAATATTGTTTGTACAAAGATTTTAGAGAGGAGAGATAAACTTAATGATTTTTTTAGTTTTTCTTGTTTGACGGGCGGGTATCTGGCTAGTTACTATAGAGACAGAGATAACTATTTCCACAGAGTACTCCAGATTTGCAGCCTTGTGCCAAACTTAGATAATATTAGTCAGCAACTGACTACAACCAACAACCAGTTCAGGCCATCATTATGATGGCACAATAAACATTTCCTAATGTCTACAGAAAAGACCTACAAACCTATGTATTTTTATTTTTACCAAAAAAAGACTTGGTATTTTATTTTACATTTAGGCGTATGCAAAATATTCGCAAAGTGCACAAATCACAATCGCGCATGTTTTTGAATTGTAGAGATTAATACATAAAAGGAAAAACTTTTTAAAATTAAAATATGCTGGGAATCTTTGCACATGTTATAGATAGTTCCTAATTGTATTAATAAGGATAAAAGCTATGTGCTGATCTTAGCGGTAAAGATCTAGAAATTGAAGTATTTTAAGCTCTTTTTACGATTTTGAATTCAGAAGAGTCCTTCTTTTAGACTGGCTGTCAATCAAGGCTAGGAAACCCAGTCTACCCTGCGATTATGAAGAGTGGAAAGTTTCTAACACCTTTTGCCATGTTATATCTTTAAAAAAAAAAAGTCAGATCAAGCCAAAAATAGAGTACTGGTGCCGTAAGTGGAGCTGCTCAATACTTACTTTCAAACTGAAAACGTTGACGCACCCTTGTAGGTAATGAATTATTTTCTACCCGACAATCCCTGTAATTTCCTTTTTGTTTGAATTTCTGGGATGAGGATTTATCATTAATTACAGTATTTCCACCCTTCTTCAACTTAATTAAAACAGCCGCTTTAGTTTCCTTTCTTTCACTATACGGTCAATTTTAAACCCACTGGAGTGACAGGGTGTAATCGATTTCTATTTCTCCACAGATTAGGTCATTTGCAGGGGTGTGCAGTAATATGAATTTATTTTCGGGGTGTATGATTAAATTTTTTTGGCATTGAAAAATATTGCATCATCTGTAATTGCATCAGATTTTTATCACACCCAGACACTGTTGTTTCGACTGTCGATTAGTTGTCCTACGGCCATTGTCTGTGATGGACGTTACTCAAAGGAAACGTACGAAAATTGTAACGCTGAATGACTATACTGGTAAGCTTTACCAGTGATTGGCCCGGTAACTCTCCTCATTTAAATCCAATCGAGAATCTGTAATTAATCTGCAAGAAACAACTTTCTGGAATGGACATACAGAGTACTAAGGTGAACTGGGTCATGTTTCATTGGGAAAATACGAAAAAAGGCAATAATAACGGAATTATTCGTTTTCTTTCAATTAATTTGCACAAGGGTGTATATTTAGACTATTGTTCTGATCATTGTTGTTGTTATCACAACGTTTCGGTCGTTGTGTTCACCGGCCATCATCAGGAGTATACATTGCAGAGTCAGGCGTCTAAATGAATCATCGCTTATACTAGGCTCTGAGGATCTTCTTAGTAGAAATAAATGCAACATGGGAGCCGGTAATAAAGACAAACCACAGCAAATTCTCAACCACGGCTCCAGCAGTCAAAACATGACAGACAGCAGTTGCAGCCTAATCAGCTGCTAGGTTAGGTTTAAGGCTCTAATTTCACTACAGCAAATTGTCCCGTGGATAATGGATAAAAACGTTGGTTCGTAAATTTGATGACCTAGTTCAATCCCTTGGTCGGGCAGTGTGTACTTACACTCAGCGGAAACGGGCAAATAATAACTGAACAGAACTAAATAATAAGAATTAGGCGATATCCCTAGAAATGAGCAGTGGAACAAGAAGACCTCGGGTTCTGTTCAGACTCAGATTGATATCCATATGAGGAAGGCTGGAGAGCGCAACGGCTGAATCTTTGGGGTAACAACAAAATTGGACATTTCTCGTTTACCATTTTATAAAAAAATGAATATATGAAAATAATTTTTTTCTATCCATAAAATTACAATAATGTCTGTGAACAAGAAAATTTAGATAAACACATCAGGACGAGTAGCTAATTATAATTTTTTTTTTAAATTTGCTCTCATCAAAAAGTAAAACAAATAATCCGAAGTATATGTTTTTTTTATTTATATCACAAAGAACTGTTTCAACTCATCGCCATATTTATTACAACGTTTCGACCGTTCTACACTCCTGCTTTCTTCAGATGGTTGGAATGTCAAGGAGACATGGCACAGTGGATAAAGGCGTTGATTAGATCCATTGACAGGACCCAAAGATTTTATATGACCCTGCTGCAACAAAAGGTTTCTGTCAAAGATGGTAGCCTTTTTAATTTGGTTAGACGTGAGAAATCGTTGAATGACTAAATTGTTTTTTAATTGTTCCCTCAATGCAAGGCTCAAGAGTAACTCAATATAAAGGGTTGCTGAATCAGATTGTTGTGTGGACGTAAGAGGAGGAAGTAAATGCAAGTTATGAGAATATGTAGGATAGATAATGATTGACCTTTGAATTGAATAGGTTAGGATTGTAGTGATTGTAGTGGTTAAGAAAAAATCCTATCAGGTGTGTTTTTCATAAAGTATCGGAAGAAGTTGTCTGAATAGAACTTCCTCCTTACTAATGGAATACAAAGAGAATGACGATGATTTGACCCTGTGTACGTCGCATGGCAAGTCAGAGCCGTAAAGGTCTGAAATGGTGGAACTAAGCAATGTAGCTGATCAAAACATTTTCCATGGAAATAGCGATACAGTAGTGATAGCCTTGTGGTATTTCGTCCATGAGAAAGAGACTGTAAGTTAGCCAACAGGTTCATTGGATTGTTAATCTCTTCATTCAAATTCAATGATTTGTCGAGTTCACCTTTGCTTTGAAGAAGCAAATATTTTACAAGTATTTTCAGAAGCTGAATATTTCACATAAAGAATTCTGTATGAGAAACATAATGAGGAAAGAGGTCTTGGACAATTTACCACCCACGAGACATGTCGATAATAAAAGGTAGAGCAGAATACAGCAGGATACTAAGCTGACGAACAGATAACCGAACGGGTGGTGCTTGGCAAAAGGACAAATGTTCCTAACAGCTACAAGGGATAGGATGTTGTGGAGAGCCATGATTGCCAACGTTTTGAAAGGCCACGTCAATAGAAGAAATATATTTATGATTGTAGGTTTTTAAAGTAAATGTCCACTCGCTACAAGGCTCAAGAGCAACTCAATGTAGCGGGTTACTGAATCAGAATATGTGGACGTAAGAGGAAGAAGTAAAAGGCAGATTATGAGAATATATATATATATATATATATATATATATATATATATATATATATATATATATGAATAAAAAATGACAATAGGAAAACTAGTAATTGCTGATGCGTTTCGTCCAATGTGGACTTTATCAAAGCAAAATACGAAATGAATTTAATTGAACAAGGTAACTAGTAAAAACAAAAACAAAATGTTCCTAGCAACTGGAATGTAGAGAAACGCTATTTTCATATTGTTAACTGAAAATAATGTCAGTATTTGTCAATGGACGAAACGCGTCAGCAGTTACTAGTTTTCCTATTGTCATTTTTATTCATAAATATTGTCTTCTCTACTGCTTAAATCGGAAAATTTTCATATATATATATATATATATATATATATATATATATATATATATATATATATATATATATATATATATCATGGATAGCAGTTGATCGTAGACTTGAAGGAGTTAAGAATGTAATGATCGGGGAAGCAATCTCACGGGAGTCAGTTCTACAACGTAGCGAATCTCCGGAAGAAGCGATCATAAAGAAACTTCCGCCTTACCAATCAAATGCAAAGAGAATCAAAATAATTCGAAACTGTGTACATAGCATGGCGTCTCCTAATTGCAAAGATATGAACTAAGGAATATTGTTTGAACATTTGCCATGGAAATAGCTATCGAGTGGCGTTAGGCTTGCGACGTTTTCTCTTCGGGAAAGGTAGGGTTGAAAATACATAACCAGACACTTTTGGAATCTGTCTGTCTATTAGTCTGTTCCGTTCTTCCTTCCTTCCGTCTTTACTTCCTTCCTACCTACCTACTTACGTAACTACCTACCTACCTACCTACCTATCTATCTATCTATCTATCTATCTATCTATCTTGGTCTGTTCATATCCATCTATAAATCTATCTGTCAATCTAACCATATATCTATCTGAGTCTGTTTATATTTATCTATCTCTATCTATCTTTGTGTTTTTATATCTATCTATCTATCTATCTATCTATCTATCTATCCTATCTATCTATCTATCTTAAACAGTTCATATCAATCTCTCTCTTTCTCTCTCTCTCTCTTTCTCTCTCTCTCTTTCACTCACTCACCTTATCAATCTATCTATCTATCTATCTTGGTCTGTTCATATCTATCTATCTATCTATCTCAGTCTGTTTCTACCTATCTATTTTGGTATCTATCTATCTATCTTAATCAGTTCATATCAAGTTCTCTCTCTCTCTCTCTCTCTCTCTCTCTCACACACACACACACACACTCACTCACTCACTCACTCACTCACCTTATCTATCTATCTATCTATCTATCTATCTATCTATCTATCTATTCTTGGTCTGTTTATATCTGTCTATCTATCTCTCTATCTATCTCTTTACGAAAATGGACCCATGTTTAATAATCATTATCACCTGTGATGATTAATTTTGTTTTTTTCATTACAAATTAAATTTAATTTCCGCTCAATAAATGAAACATATTTCATTATTCTCTTCCCGTTGATGACAGGTAATAAATTGCAAAATTCAGAAGCATTTCTCTCCGTTCTAATCACGTCAATTAATAGTGTCAGCGGATTCATTTTAATGGAAACCAAAATTTAATATCCGAAAAGCCGACTGCATTTCGCAATATTCATTCACACGCATAACAGATGTTTTATGCGAATTTTAATTATTTTCGAGAATAATTTCCATTGATTACAAGAATAACACGTTTATTTATTTATTTAGTTTCATCTAATTTATTATTTATTTATTTTAATCGAATTGATTTATTTATTCTTTAAGACTTGGGGTTATTGCTTCGTGTTAAATCAGTTAAAAATAGGTATTTTCTGGTTAGACTATTTGAGCGTATTACCAATTGTAGGCGTGCTGGGTAAGACGATAAACTGCACCCGCGTCCTGGGTAAGACGATGAACTACATCCGCGTCCTAGGTAAGACGATAAACTGCATCCGCGTCCAGGGTAAGACGATAAACTACATCCGCGTCCTGGGTAAGACGATAAATTGCATCCGCGTCCTAGGTAAGACGATAAACTGCATCCGCGTCCTGGGTAAGACGATGAACTACATCCGTGTCCTAGGTAAGACGATAAACTGCATCCGCGTGCTGGGTAAGACGATAAACTGCATCCGCGTCCTGGGCAAGACGATAAACTACATCCGCATCCTAGGTAAGACGATAAACTGCATACGCGTCCTGGGTATGACGATAAACTACATGCAACAGCAAGGCCTCTGAACAGAAGGTTTTGAGGAGAGTGGAACCACCTCTTCATTGCTGGTGTTCCCAGGTCCACCCTGACCCGGGGTGGTAGCACCTGTTAGGGTCCCAGCTATGGGCAAAAAGTTAACACCAATCTGGGGGTCAAAACACTATGAGAATGTAAAAATAGGTTTTAATACTAGCAATACATTTTTGTAAAAATTATAACCAGCAATGAATTTTTGAAGGAAAAAAAATCATTACCAGCAATAGAATTTTGAAAAAAATATTACCAGCAATACAAAAATATGACTTGTCGGTATTAAATAACTCATTGAGGTTGATATGCCGTAAAACAAAACAAACCAAAACAATATATACTGAGATAGATAGATAGATAGATAGATAGATAGATAGATAGATAGATAGATAGATAGATAAAAAATATTACCGGCAATGAAAATCTTGTCGGCATTAAATAAACCATTGAGGTGTTGATATGCCATGAAACAAACCAAACTAAACCAAACCAATCCTGACAAATCCCGTGAGCCACTCAAGGTAGAATGTATCACTGTAACATGGCATAGATTATGCGAATATGTGGGGAAGATAACGTATAACAACTAGACCTGAACAGGTTAAGATTGTAGTGTTCTGGAAAGCATTCTCTTGGGATTCGGTTCCACAAAGAAGGAGGTTTGGGGAAAGAATATACTCGAATCTGAAACTTACATCTCACCAATGGAATACGAAGGGAATGAAGATGGTTCTCTACAAAGTGCTTACCATGGGGGGGTCTTAGCTTGAAGGTTAAACCATGTTTTTTTCTACAGCCAGGTTCACCTTGTACAAAGCCCGGAAGCCACTCTAGGTAAATGGCTACAGATTAAGAGGCATAATATATATATATATATATATATATATATATATATATATATATATATATATATATATATATAATAAAAAGGCTTAAACACTAATTTAAGCCTTTTTATTATATCCTTACTCTGTCCTGGACATTGAGTTCTACCTGGATTCTTCCTCTTGGAATTTTTATTCAAAAAATATACCTGTATGGGTATTTATATATTTTGCATATGTATGTATATTTACCACTAATATTAACTATATATATATATATATATATAGTGAGAGAGAGAGAGAGAGAGAGAGAGAGAGAGAGAGAGAGAGATGGAGATAGATAGATAGATAGATAGATAGATAGATAGATAGATAGATAGAACAGCTAAGATTATATATAGATATATATATATATATATATATATATATATATATATATATAAATGCATGTTTCATTAAATACTATAGACAAGTTTTGTCTATTTATTTTAAGTAAGATCCTTTCATATTGTCTGATAAACTTAATAACATTATCATTGAAAGACGAAAGGAAATCACCATATTGATACATATTTAAATCCAATCTAAGCTTTCGGCTTACATAAGCCATTATCAAAGATGACAATTACTTTTCAATATATCAAACAATACACGGACGAAACAATAATGGTAGTCTGCTTTTGTTGCATGAAAAATTTCAAAGCAGCGTCTAATTCGTGTATACGAGACACGGAAGCGAAAATCGCGTCGCAGCTCGTGATGTCACACATGATCACACGAGAGTGAAAACGAGAAGTATTAAGTATGGAAAGCCGTTGGTATAAACCAATGGCTTCTGTTATCAATTATATGTTTTTAAGAATATTTGTGGAGATTTCACAGTTTATTTTCTTCAGGTTAGGTTTCAACTGTTTTATGTATAAAGCTTCAAGAATTTTTAGTTTTTGTTTATTGTTTTCATGTTTAAGTATAGTTGGGTTATCAACAAGGATTTTCCGGAATTGTGTACGCGGCCAGGCATGTTGTTTCAAATGCTTAAAAATGTTAGAGTTATCATTCAAATGTAAAGTCAAGCGTCGTGAAAGCGTGTTTGTGGTGTGACCTACGTAATATCAATATGGATATTTCCTTTCGTCTTTCAATGATAATGTTATTAAGCTTATCAGACAATATGAAAGGAACTTACTTAAACTAGACAAACTTGTCTATATTATTTAATGAAACATGCATTAATGAAAAATTGCTGCCTAAAAATACACAATATATATATATATAGAGAGAGAGAGAGAGACAGAGAGAGAAAGAGAGATATGAACAGACGAAAGTAGATATGAAGAGAGTGATATATATATATATATATATATATATATATATTTAAAAGAAAAAACAGACCACTTTAAGGTTCCATTATAATAATTTATTTCACCAGAGCCCTTTTAAAGGACGCCTGATCATCAGATAGCACTTCCAAAAATGAAATGAAACGAAAAATTAAATTAAAATTGATGGGTAGTGTAAGTTTTTATAATTTAACAGAGAGTGTGAAAGGGATAGTTAAAGAGACATGGTAGAGTATAGGGAGGGATTAATTTCATATCTCTCTCAAGTATATATATATATATATATATGGTTGGATTGATGTGAGTTTGTGACCCTAGGTTTCATGCTTTTGTGATCGTCAGACAAACTGATTAATTTTTTTAAATTTTGGGTTTATGTAGATTGCATGTAAAGGTGTTATTATGGGAGTTGGGGAATCGTCGTCGGGATGTCACTCATACTAACGCAAACATAGATGCATGTCCGTACACCCGTTGACGTACGCAGACACACATACACACTCGCTCATCCGCCGGGGCTCATACAGACATAAACATATGTGGACAGTATGGGATTTGACATATGTATGTATATGTGTGCTGTTGTGTATATACATACGCATTTGTATGTTGAAATTCAAAGATCGGAAGTGTAGCGAAAATGTCTCGTGAATGCCTCGTGAATGTATACATGTCAACAATCAGAAAAATGCTCTGATTGCTGACATTCGAGATGCCCTATTTTCTAAGCGTAGCTTAGACGTGGCACAAGGCCGAATATATGTGGCACCCGGTAAGGACCGGACTCACTACTCAGTCGTAACTGATTTCGTGAGACAAGCTTGCTATTACACCGCCTCGAGGTGCCCTCTTTCCTAAGCGTAGCTTATATGTGGCACAAAGCCGAATGTATGCGGCGCTCAGTGAGGACCGGACTCACAACTCAGTCCTAATTGATTTCGCGAGACAAGTTTGCTAAACAGTACACCACGTTGACAGCTGAATGTAGTGAATTTTAATCACCACGCTTCGATAAACGCAAGCAATCAGTAGCTTCTATTTACGAAGAAAAGATCGTAGTTTTGTGTTTTTCTACCTGTTGTTGTTTTTTTTTTTTTTCTTTCTTTCTTTTTCTCATTGCTTTTTTTTTTCTTCTGACTACTCGCCACCTTTCTTTGCTGTTTCGTATTGACGCTTTGTTTACGCTGATCGCTCATCAATAAGAAACAAAATTCTGTATATTTTGGAACATTATTCTTCGCCACGAGATCTCTGCTCCGTCGAATATCGATCATCTAATTTTTTTTTTCGCTCTATTTTTGCTAGCCTTTACTTTCGATAACTGTTTAATCAAAATTCTCTCTTCAGCGTGCTTAAGAACGTTTTTAAAAATCAAATTCATATTGGAGCTTCCGTTGTTGAAAGAGAGAGAGAGAGAGAGAGAGAGAGAGACCATTCTCTTTGTAAAAGTCTATTCGTAGATTCAAACAAGCGTGTTGTTAGAAAAATGAAACTCTTGTGTCTCTAAGCGCACCTATAGATTACTAAGTAATCTTAGTACAGCTCAAATGCAATCATAACAAAAAAAAAGATGAGAAAGATTGTCTTGTGCCAAGCTGAAAAAAAATAGGAAAGAGATAGCTGTCTTGAAAATTAACTGTAGCGTCCCGTCGTCGACCAACACCAATGGGCAGTGTCTCTTCAGTACGTTGATATCATGGCTCTCCACAACTACCTATACTTAGTTCTAAGTAATATTCGTCTTTTCACTATATTTCCCAATCACTGTTCTGCCATGCATTTACAAAAGCTTGTTAGGTAGATTAGCCATGGCTCTCCACAACTTCCCATCCTTTGTAGCTCTTAGTAATATTCGTCTTTTCACTATTCTTCCCAATCTCTGTTCTGCTATCCATTTACACAAGCTTGTTTGATAAGTTGATCATGGTTCTCCACAACTTCCATCCTTTGTAGCTCTTAGCAATGTTCGTCTTTTTACTATC